CCTGTCTAAGGTTACTTTCTTCTCATTAAATGTATTTTTACTCATTTTCAATGTTAAGACATATAAATGCTTTTATAAGGCATTGAATCTCAAGTTTTCTAAAGGCAAAAATAAGGAAAGTAGAAAAAAGGAGAGACACTGAATTATTTAGGAAAAATTGGGGATATAGTTAAATCATGAAAAGCTCAAAACCCTTTCAGCTCAGCCAATTTTGAACTTCAGTTTTCAATCCAAAAGTTCCTGGTGTAGGAGAGCAATAATTCTTATAGCAACTAGAAGTCTGTTCTCTCTTTTTCTAGCTTTGGGGGAGGGGCATTTTATTTGTTTTCACTCTGCCAACTTTTAAAGATTTAAAGAGGAACTGAGGCACTCTAGAAATCTGCTTTTCAACAAGTATTAGACCTGGCACATAGTAAGTATTTGGGAGGTATTGGTGGAATTAAATGCTTAATTTAGTGATTATCAGACTTTGATTTGACCGTCTCCTATTTAAACTTTAATGTACTCTTTCTCTAAAGCACATTGTTTCGTTTTCCATGTTACTTTGCTCCCTGGGAATATTTTCTAATTAGAAAAATCTTGAAGCACTTTGTGATTCCCAAATAATTCAAATTAAATAATCAAGATTTAAATTAGGGAAAGTTTTCAAGACATAGGAGTTAGACTGAATGTGTGCAGGAGGCCAGGGTGTGTGTGTGTGTGTTTGTGTGCGTGTGTGTGTGTATTAGGAAAGTCACTTGAGCTGAAAGTCAGAAACTGTTTGTTTTTCTTTTAACCATGTAAGTCCTAGAAGGCAGCTTTCTTGGCAAGGAAAGAGCACAGATTTGGGAGCCAGACAAACCTATGTTTAAATATTCATGCTTAGTCTTAACCAGCTGGGGAACTGCAGGCAAATTACTGGACCTGGTTTCCTCTTTACCTTCCTCCAGCTCTGTCCTGAGATTTAAATGAGGTCACATCTGTTAAAAGCTTGGTACTATGTAAACTCTAAACTACACAGATAATTTAGAGCCTTGTGTCCTATACATACAATGTTAAAAATCCAAAGGCATTTGTATTCCCCAAATGCCTTTGAATAATAAAAATATCAAAGTGATCATGAAACGAAGAAACACAAACACGTTAAAACAAATGTTTACATAATACAAATGATTTTACAAACATGCATTTAGAATGTAAAAACAAACCCAGATATCAAACTCCTGAAACCACCATTGCAAAATAAATATCTGAGACAGTGAAAGACATCAGACCTAACCAACTCCACCTTGCTTCTAACCACCAAGCTCTCCTTGTTCATTCTTGGACACAGGCTGAACTCACTTTGGGAGGAACTTCATTTATAGTTAAAAACAAAGTGATAACAGCCCTTTCTCAAAACAAACCCCTTTCTCGCTTGGGGACTAAACTGCCTTTGTAGGACTAACAAATTAGCCACAAGATTAGAAATTATGGCTTAGGACTCATGCAGCTGGAGGCTACAAGATTCCGAACCTCTTCAAATTTCTCCTTGGGATTACATCACTATCTTGAAACCTAAGATCAGTGCTTGAGATATTTTGCAGACTCTGCACTTTATGGATCAGCTGGCACCCCACAGATCAATAAGCTGGTTCATCTGATCTTGTGGCCCCCACCCAGGAACTGACTCGAGGAAAAAAGATAGCTTCAAATCTCTATGATTTCATCCCCACCCAACAGATCAGTACTCCGGATTCACTGACCCGTACCCACCAAGTTATCCTTAAAAACTCTGATCCCTGGATGCTCAGGGTAACTGATTTGGGTAATAATAAAACTCCGGTCTCCCGCACAGCTGGTTCTGCATCAATTACTCTTTCTCTATTGCAATTCCCTGTCTCGATAAGTCAACTCTGTCTAGGCAGTGGGCAAGGTGAGCCTATTGGGTGGTTACACTCCCATCATAACTTTTCCTTTTCAGGGAGTTTTCCAGATAAGCTGAAACGGGGGATTTTATACAATACGGTGAGTTTGAAAAGTTGCCATCATCTCCCATTTCCGGAAATTCTGTGGACATTTTAAGATTCTCAATGGCTCTAAAGACTGGGACTGCATTTAACTTAGAATCAATAGCCTGAAATGTTTTCTAAGCCTATCCTATATTATATGCATGAGTGATGATAGGTCTTTGATGAATGCTGGTAAATGCTGGGAGAAGAGTGTCCTTGGCAAATTAATATTCTTCGAGGACCTCTCCCTCTTCCATTTCAGTAGGTTCTTATTGCTATACCACTGATTGTAACCACTTCCCTTTTCCACGACACTGAAGGTACAGAAAGTTCTTTTCCTAGAGGAATCAAAATATTCTTTGTTATCCCTGAAAGCACATTCCTTTCATGTCTCTGGGAGTCTGTGCTTCAACATAGAAACAAAGTATGCTTGCCAAATTTAATGCTTAATTCTTTAGACATACAAATTTGCTGTATCCAATCACACATCCATGAAAGCCAGTCATTCCATCATGATTTCTGATCACTGCACCAACCTAAGCTCTCTTCATTTCCTTCAGATGTTTTACCCCACCATTCAAAATCACATTCCCAGGCAAACACAACAATTGGAAATTGCAGGCTAGCTCACCTGCTTTCAAAGCCAACTCAGGGTGATGAAAATAACATGCTTTGTTTCCATTGGAATGGATTATCTTGATGTTTTCAGTTTATCTTTTTTGTACACATTTTCTCTTCTTAAATATATTGAAGAGTATAAATAATCCCAAATTTGAAGAAACTTTGCCAAAAAAAGAGAGACGGAGATTCTGACACAGATTCCCTCTGTGAGGGCAGGCTCAGACTGCAGTCTGTATCTTCAGAATCACTTCCAAGTGGGATGAACCCTTCGGGTTTTTATTAGCGTCAAAGCAGCCCTGATTATGAGGTACTAATTAAGCGGCCATAATCTAAGTGCAGCCCAACCTTACTTTTTTTAAGGTAATAACTTGCGTTTCTGTGAGTGGCAAACTAAAGGGACCACTTTAATGAGTCTTTAGTCATGCATATATTACGCCTAAGTAGCCCCATTGTTCTCAGGAAGACTCTGAAGTAGAATAGAAACCCAAAAACCCAGACTTCAGACTGAGAGGTTGAGTATCCTATTCATAGTGTCAGTTGCTATGGAGTCTCAGCAGGGCTATCCTCCTATGCCCAGGTTTAGACTACCTCGAGCCTGGGACACATTTGTGTCTTCTGTGTCCAGTTATGTTCCTTAGGGAAGCTGAGACTTGAGGCTGAGCTATCAGGGGCTTGCACGCCAGATCCCCTGTTCCCCTGACTTTGGGGACACAGTGAGGCCCCTGGGCTAGCCTCAGTACCACCCCACGCTGGACTGGATGAATGGTGTCTGTGACAGGGCGTTATCCAAGGCTGAACAAGCTGAATGTAGAGAACTGTACGGTGAACTGTATCTGGGCCATTGGCGATCCCCTCTGAAGGGAACAGATCCATCACCACTGTCTGTCACACAGAGGCAGAAAATGAATGGACGGATATTGGAGGAGGAAAGGACAGGTCTTCCCTGGGACTGCAAATTAATTGGACTCTAGTTCTAAGTGCCTGGGAATGCCCATTGGCAGAAGGGGTTGAGTTGCTTCTGCCATTGGGAAACCTGCGAGGGTTATGAGAGAAGATTTTGGCTCGTAAGCTTTCAGAGTGGCCCATTCTAGTGTCAGCTGTGACCCACTCTGTTGTGTGTTACCCCAACCCGTCAGTGAAAGAGCCAAAAACCATTGCCCAACCTGAGGTACTCAGGAGACCCTCCCCAGGGTAGGTGGAGTGCTGGACGAGGATCCATCAGAGTGGCTGTCGTGCAGGTCACCGGTAGTATGCTTAGCCTTTGGGATAAAAAGGCTACACAGAAAAATGAATCAAGGGATTGGTTCCCAGGGACACTCGGTATGGTCATCAGGGGACCAGGTTCCTGGCAATTCACAGTGATTACTGAGAGGATACTCTGAGGGAGATTCCCTTCTGGAAAGGAAGCCAGTGGCAGCTCATCTTGTGTTAGTCTAGGTATAAAAAAGATGAATTATTTGATTCTGTCATCACAAAATGGCTAAGCATGGCTTGGGCTCTGATGGTTACTGTGGTGTCTTCTTTGTGACTTAAGCTGTATTAAAATCAGGAGATCACCTATAAAAGGTACACAGAAATATTTGTTCTTTTTTTCCCCTTTCTCCAAATTCAGATAGATCCTCTTTTCTGAGATTGAGGAGTAGAACCGAAAGGTCTCTATCCTAAGGAATATAAGATAGTGATAAGATAGTTATATCAAGATAAAGAATTACTAACAGCTTAGCACACATTTTAGGAAATTTATCACTTATATTTTTGTTGCTTTTCTCATCCCTGGGAAATAAGATGCCCTTGCCTTGGGTTAGCCACTTGCCGCAGAGGAAAGGGTGTTTGTGCGCCACGGAACGCTGTCTATTCACAGCTCTTGCTTCCTGCATTAGAAAACCAGCTTCACCAAATAATGTGTGTGTGTGCCAATGCTTTTCATCAGTTTAGAAGAACTCAGTGAAATGTTTAGCCTAAGGATGAGAATATAAACAGAACATTTAGCCACAAAAGATATATGCCTTCTCAGAGGCCAGGGAAATAAGAAACATGACCTTCTATATCCCTCCCTTTTCCATAACTCCATGAATCTATTGCTGATTTTACAGCATCTCTGCTTCATTCTGATTTCACGTACCTTTTACAAGGTCAGGTGTGAGTCAGTAGCAGCCAGGAACCAAATTTGCTTGAAATCAGGCCTTCGATCTAGAGGCACACATCTGTCTATTTCCCTTGCACTTCCTCAATTTCAACAAAATTTTGTACAAATCTCAAGTTCTGTTGTATTACCCCTAGTTGATAGTAAGGTTTATTCAAGGTGAGTTAAGTTTTCTAATAGATTCTTTTTTAGCCATTTTGGGATGAGCTTTTTATAATACAGGAATAACAAAGCCAGTTTATTTAACAAAAAATTGGACACATAGCTTTATTCTATTTTTGCCTTTATTAGTTTCATTCTTTGTTGAGGTATAAGAGACATAGAATAAACTGCACTTATTTTAAATGTACAATTTAATAAAATGTAAGATACGAAACCAGCATTCCAACCAAGATAATGAACATATTCATCACCCCCAAAGTTTCCCCAGATCCCTTTGTTTGACTCCATTTTAACTAAGGAGAATGTATCCATAATTTCTTACTAAACTCTCTGTCTCAGAAAGTCAGATTGCCAAGAAACCTATTTCTGAGCCTTATTTGACTTTTATTTGCACAAGCTGAATAAATACAAGCAATTCGTTGACAATGCATTCATAAATGAGGAGACGTGAAATCTGACTTCCAATTGCATCTTAACAGAACATATTTTCATAGTAAAGTCCATTTGTCTTGGGAAGTATGAGACTATTTGAAAGATGGAAATGAAAAAGTGAGCAATCCTACTTTGAAAGATCCCTTGTTTTTATCTCTTACAAGTCTGCAAATTTCTCAGAAGCTAAGCTCGAGAAAAACTCCAGATTCCTGACATAAGTATTGTAGCTTCACCCTCCCTTAGTCTCGGTGATGAAAGTGAAGCCTAAACCTCAGATTTTACTCTGGGGAGTCACATTTTATAACTGGTCTCTAATTAAATGTTATTTAAGAATCACTTGATAAAAATTCTGAAGTTCCAGATAAAATCATGTCAACAGCACTATTAATACAATGGTACAAAGATTTCCCCTTCTGTGGTCTCTGCAGTAGCTGGATTCCTCAGCTCCCTGTTCTGCTGCTTCCTGACTGTGAGAGCCTGTGGCTAAGACATTGAACAGCTCCAAAACTCAGTTTCCTCATCTATAAAATGGGACTGATGATAACAATAGGGCTTCCATGAAGATGAGATCGCAGGCACTCCTTCAATGTTCATTGCTATTATTGTACCTACATTGCTTTTTCTAATCATGCTACAGGCTAGAAGTGACAGACAAAAGCCTCAAATTTCAGTGTTACTGACATTCTGGAGCAAGCATTTAACACACATTAATCTTTAGTGGAGCGAGCTGTCTTCTTACACATCTGAACAAGCAGTAAGTACTCTTCCAGCTCATTTTAATTTGGGACGAGAAAAAAGGACACGCATCTGCCAAAAAAGAAAGTTCCTTCACAACCTTAACTTTATATATGTATTTGCATTTTAGGTTGCTTTTGAAGCTAAGAAGAAGGAGCAGGTTGTGGAAGTGGCCCCACCCTCCCTTGGAAGGCTTCTGTTCTGGACACTTAAGTTCTCCTGCAAGGCGCCAGAGAAGCAGTTTTCTAACTACCTTTGAAATGTCCCGATGGGGTCCAGTACATCCCCTGTAGATAGCCCTGAAAAACAGAAAAGCCTCTCAGTTGGAGCAGCTCTCTTGAAATGCTTTTTCACATCGTATATTATACTGGCAAAAAAGTATAATCCATCTGAGTTCCTGGAATTTATCCTAAGGAAATCGTTCAAAAAGAAACAGTTGGCCTGGCACTGTGGCTCATGCCTGTAATCTCAGCACTTTGAGAGGCCAAGGCAGGAGGATCACTTGAAGTCAGGAGGTAAAGACCAGCCTGGGCAACATAGTGAAACCCCTGTTTCTACAATAAAAATTTTAAAAGTTAACCGGGCATGGTGGTGCATGCCTGCAGTTCTAGACACTCAGGAGACTGAGGCAGGAGGATGACTTGAGCCCAGCAGATCTGGGCTGCAGTGAGTTAGCATTGCACCACTGCATTCCAGCCTGGGCAACAGAGGGAGACCTCCCTTTTATTTTTCAAAGGCAGACAGAGAGAAAGAAAGAAACAGTGAAAAATAGCATACATCGGAAACTATACCTAACATTTGATGCTAATAGTAAAAAACTCTCAACAACCTCATGCAAACTCATCTAAATTTTGGTCCAGTCACGGGCTGGAATATAATGCAAAGATTTTAAATTATAAATATAAAGACTATAAAGAAACAGAAAATGTTTCTACTGCAATATTAAGTAAAAGAGTTTGATTACTGCACATGCAATCTAACCTTGTAAAAATAAATATAATATGACAAAGGTGGAAAGAAATATGTAAAAAAACCTCTTTTCATGTTCCAGTAGGTGACTGTTTTGGGAAAACTCTGAACCGTGTTTTTCCTCTGCTCTCACACCACCACCGCAATAATCATCAACACGGAAAAAGACTTCGGTGACCAAATGTCAGGGGGGGTTTCCCCACACACCAAGCAGCAGACACAGCTGGGTATCCTCCCATTCAATTTCGACACTCCCACTTGGAGATAGTGTTAGATCCCACAGGTTGAGGGCTCTGTCCCCAAGACAAACCAGCTTCAAGTTGGGGCTCCCATGATCCCCTCTTTCGGTTTGATTAATTTGCTGGAGCAGCTTAGAACTGAAGGAAACAGCTTTACTGGTTTAATATAGGGAGTATTACAAAGGATACAGATGAAGAGGTGAACAGGGTGAGGCATGGGAGGAGGGGTGTGGAGCTTCTGTGCGCACCCTGCTCGCGCCATGCTCCGGGAACCTCCACATGGTCGGTTATCCAGACGCTCCCAAACTCTGTCTTCTTGGGTTTTTATGGACGTTTCATTACACAGGCATGATTGACACCTGTGTAGAAATATGAAAAAGCACATGATGTAAATCCAGCAGGCCTTGTCTGTTCAGACTTTTCTTGGCCTCTATGTGTAGCATTCCTTCCTCTAGGATATGGGGCAGGACCCTCTCTGGAAGGAGGGTCTTACGACTCACAATCAGATTAGAGTCCTGCCTTGGGCAGGTGAAAGGAAGGCAGGAGAAGATCAAAGAGAAAGGGATTCTGTTTCCTGAAGCCTGCTTCTGAGGCCTAAAGAGCCCCAGTATTATAAACGACTGTAACAAGGGTTATAGGAGTTATGAGCTAGGAACCATGGACAAAAAGAAATATATATAATAATATCACAGTGACATTTTTCTCTTATTTTCCAGATTTTCTGTATTGTGTTCATGTATTTTTTAATGGTAAAAAAGGATGGCTTGCCAGATAATTTTAAAAGAAATTATGAAGACCAAAATCCTTTCTGTAGGAAAGAAAGTTGTGTACTTTTCTGTGGATTTTTTTGCTTCTTCATGTAGCTAGAAACGTGATGGATGGCCATACCCCTACACCAGAGTTTACCTGATAACTCAAAAGAATCCTTCACAGGAAGAATCTCAATTGTGAGACATTCATAAGCGTGGACAGGGCAGTTAAGTGGCAGCTGGGAAAAGGGAAGCCTGGCAGACCTGGCTCTGGGCATAAACAGAAGTCATTCTGGAGGGTGTAGAAAAACAAAATGACTTTGGGGCATTACAGAGCGGTGTTCAACTTTGTCACCTTGGGATAATCAATTTTGGTTCCGTCCAAATCAGTTTACTTTTCTGAACCTCAATTTCTTTATCTATGAAATGGGAGTAACTGTGATTATAACCTCCTCCCCAGAAAATCCCAGTGAGAATTTTAGTGAGCTCACTATCCTAGTTGCTGGAGACAAAACAATGACTAAGACACCAGGCTCAGGAAATATACAGGGGAAGAGCATTATTAGCAAAGAGTGCAACACAGCAAAGGCAAAGAGGAGAGACCCTCCCATGCTGGGGCCAGTTAGTTACTAGTAGATCTGTATCAGGGCAAAGCAGAGTGCAGCAAAATGAGAGCCGCAAACAGGAGATAGACCCTCAAATCCCATACCATTAAACTTTACCCTGCAGATAAAAGAGCCACTGCAAGATGTTATGCAGAAAACAGGTTATATGGTTTGGATTTGTGTCCCCGCCCAAATCTCATGTCTAATTGTAATCCCCAGTGTGGGAGGAGAGGCTGGTGGCAGGCGATTGGCTCATGGGGACAGATTTCCCCCTTGCTGTTCTCGTGATTGTGTGAGTTCTCATGAGACCTGGTTGTTTAAAGATGTGTGGCACCTTCCTCTTCTCTCTCTGTCCCCTGCTGGGCCATGTGAAGATGTGCCTGCTTTCCCTTCATCTCCCACCGTGATTGTAAGTTTCCGGAGGCCTCCCCAGCTGTGCTTCCTGTATAGCCTGTGGTACTGGGAGTCAATTCAATCTCTTTTCTTCATAGATTACCCAGTCTCAGGCAGTTTCTTATAGCAATACAAGAGCAAACTAATGCAAGTAGAAACTTCTTTTGCATTTTGTGTAGAACACTCTGGCAGCCCCATGAAGGATCAGGCCCAAGAAATAGAAATCAATTAAGAGGCCACTGGGTGATCCAGTGACAGATGATGGATCTAATAGATTTAAAACTGAGCCCTCGGCCAGGCTCAGTGACTCAGGCCCATAATCCCAACACATTGGGAGGCCGAGGTGGCAGGATCACTTGAGCCCAGGAGTTCAAGACCAGCCTAGTGAAACTTCATCTCTACAAAAAATTTAGAAAAAAATAGCTGGGCATGGTAGTGCACACCTGTGGTCCCAGCTACTTGGAAGGCTGAGGTGGGAGGACTGTTTCAGCCCAGGAGGTTGCGGCAGCAGTGAGTCATGTCTGCACCACTGCCCTCCAGCCTAGGCAACAGAGTGAGCCCCATCTTAAAAACAAAAGAAACAACAACAACAAAAAAAACCCTAAGCCCTTAATCTCCTTCCTCCCCTTCCCACTGCAAACCTAGTCCTCAAGGGCCCACAGCTGGTGGTTAGCAGAATCATGTCAGAGCAAGAATAAAGCTTTTACTATTTCACTATTATATTTTGCTAATAGCTACCCTTGGGCACCAAACTAGGAGCTTTATATACCTTATCTCTTTTAAGCCACTCAGTAGCCGAAGGGATAATGTATATAAAGCACATAATTTGGCCCTATTCATGTTCTCACTTTCCAAAGCAAAACCTAAAAGTCAGAGATGGAAATTTACTTGAGGTTATAGTTAACTGAGTTTCAACACCAGATCTTTCCAACTCCAACATCTATGTTCCCAGAACAGTGCTTTTTATTTCTAACCCATGTGAAAACAAGTGGTTGGAATGTCAAGCTCACAAATCATTTCTCTGCCTTCAGAATCTGTGCATGGCCCTCCCAGCCCAGGGCCAGAAGGCTAAAAAGCTCTTTCTCCTGAAGGTGACCTGTTACCTCTTCTTACACCCACCACTCTATTATTTTCCAAATAATTTACATTATTTCCTCACATTGCTAAGCCTTCACTGGGCTGAGATGCAGATGCTCCAGTTATCTTCAGACTGATCCATGTGAATGCAGCGCTCCCTCTTAGGACCAATGGAAGCCCCACACACCCATCACTTTCCTACCACCCGCAGGAGGCGTGGGACCCTGCAGAGAGATTGAGATCTGCAGTTGAAGATAATCCCACATCTGTCTTAGTTCATTCAGGCTCTCACAACAAAATACCATAAACTGCATCCCCATGGCTTATAAGCGACAGATACTTATTCCTTAAAGTTCCTGGAAAGTCCAAGATCAAGGCACCAACAGATTTGTGTCTGGTGTGGACCATTTCCTGGTTCATATAGATGCCTTTGCCTGTGTCCTCACATAGTAAAAGACGTGAGGTCACTCTCTGGGGCCTCTTTTATAATGGCGCTAATCCCATTCTTGAGGGCATCATTCTCATGACCTTAGCTTCCAAAGATCCCACCTCCTAATACTATCACCTTGAGGGTTAAGATTTCAACACATTAATTTTGGGGAGTTTTTTTTTTTTTTGAGACAGTTTCACTCTATCAGCCAGGCTAGAGTGTAATGGCACAATCTCAGCTCACTGCAACCTGTGCTTCCTGGGTTCAAGCTATTCTCCTGCCTCAGCCTGCCAAGTAGCTAGGATTACAGGTGCTCACCACCACACCTGGCTAATTTTGTATCTTTAGTAGAGAAGGGGTTTCACTATGTTGGCTAGGCTGGTCTCAAATTCCCGACCTCAGATTATCTACCCACCTCAGCCACCCAAAGTGCTGAGATTACAGGCATAAGCCACCACACCCAGCCTGGAGAGATACAAATATATTCAGATCATAGCACCTTCCATGTCGCTTTGGCAATGGCTTCTCCCATCCACATTTTCCTGCTGGAATTCCTTCAAACAATCAGCACAACTTCTTCTTGAATGAGCAGTCTTAGTTTCTATTTTTTTACTGAACTATTTAATTCCTTTCTTTCCCATGTGTATTAGTCAAGGAAAGAGAAAGAGAACCAATAGGAAGGATGGGTAGATAGATGATAAATACATAAATACACACAGAGGAGAGCTATTAGAAGATTAGCTCATGTGGTTATGGGACTAAGAAGTCCCATGACAGGCTGTCTGCGAACTGGAGAAGCAGGAAAGCTGGCAGTGGAGCCCAGTCCCAGTGCAACGGCCTGAGAATCAAGGAAGCCAATGGTGTTGGTCTGAGGCTGAAAACCTGAGAACCTGGGGGTGCTCCTGGTGCAAGTCCCAGAGTCCCAAAGATGGACAACCTGGGGTTCTGATGTCCAAGGACAGAAGAAGACAAATGTTCCAACTCCAGGAAAGTAAATTTGCCTTTCCTTTCTTTTTGGTCTATCTGGGCTCTCAGCCAATTGGAAGGTACCCATTCACTTTGAGTGAGACAGATCTTTCTATTCAGCCCACTGATTCAAATGCAAATCTCTTCTGGAAACACCCTCAGAGGCATACCCAAAAATAATGCTTCACCAGCCATCTGGGCATCCCTTAGCCCACTCAGGTTGACGCACATCCCTCAGCATTCTACATCAGCTTAGTTAAAATTTCGGATACCAAAGGGCTATGGTTTCTATCTTCACCTTTTCTCCCCACTATAAGTCTTCTTTATGGTTCCATTTCTTGGTAATCAGAACTTATTTGCATTCTTAATCTCATGTGAAGCAATACTTAAAAACTAGCAATTTTAGTTTCCATAATTGCACAGCTTCTGCTCCTGTGAATCTGAGGCCAGCAAACTTGACAAGTAACATAAAATAAAAAACAGAAAGAAAAAATATTCAGTTCTTATAAATAATCTCCAGATTCAAGAACTGAGATTGAGGGTCAGGTGCAGTGGCTCATGCCTGTAATTCCAGCATATGGGGAGGCCAAGGCAAGTGGATCACTTGAGGTCAGGAGTTTGAGACCAGCCTAGCCTACATGACAAAACCTTGCCTCCACTAAGAATATAAAAATTAGCCAGGCATGGTGGAACATGCCCATCATTCCAGCAACGTAGGAGGCTGAGACAGGAGCATCTCTTGAATCTGGGAGGCAGAGCTTGCAGTGAGATTGTGCAGAGATTGCTGAGATTGATTGAGCTGAGATTGTGCCACTGCACTCCTGCCAGGGCAACAAAGTGAGACCTTGTTTCAAAAAAAAAAAGAACTGAGTTTTAATTCCTATTTTTTGTCTACTATTAACTTTTGCCTTCCTCTGGGCATTTTTTTCCACAGTAAATTTTTTTTTTTTTTGAGACAATGTCTCACTCTGTTGCCCAGGCTGGAGTGCAGTGGTATGATCTCAGCTCACAGAAACCTACACCTCCCTGGTTCAAGCAATTCTCCTGTCTCAGCCTCCCAAGTAGCTGGGACTACAGGCACATGCTACCACGTCCAGCTAATTTTTGTATTTTTAGTAGAGACAGGGTTTCACTATATTGGTCAGGCTGGTCTCAAACTCAGGTGATCCACCACCTCAGCCTCCCAGAATACATATTTAATTCAATGTAGTTTACATGAAACAGTTAATATAAGAGTAGTTAGAGGGGCCAACAGTGAATGTTTTGCTGTTTGATATTTCAGAAAATACGTGTGTAAGTACCCACATCTCCCCTCCAACTCAGTGTGACTCCTTCCCAAGCTCAAGCTATTTTTCTTGTTCCTCTGACTTCCATCAAATGCCTTGTGCCACAGTTCAGATGCAGGTCTTAAAACGTATCTCTAAATTAAAGATAGTAGCTGATTGTAAACACAAGAGATTTCTTTGTTATTTGTGATATACTTAAGCAGATAGAGAAGAATTACCTAATTTATGCTGTGTCTGCATGGTACCAAAGCAGGTAAAATACGAAACAGTCAAGTTGATCACTTAGTGTTGTATGGATGCACAATAGGTCACTTAGTTGAATTCAAGTCTTCTTTCTTTTTAATCTATAACTTATCTGAGTGAAGAAGACAGTAGTCTAGTGGCATTTTCCAGGTCGAGGTGACAGCACATGACAGAAAGCTCAGCTTTTTTAGCCCTGGCGTTTCTTTCTTTCTTCTTTGTTTCCTTTGAGACAGAGTCTCACTCTGTCACCGAGGCTGGAATGCAGGGGTGCAATCAGAGCTCACTGTAGCCTCAACCTCCTGTGTATCAGGCTGGGTCTACAGGTGTGTGCCACCATAGCTGGCCAATTTTTAAATTTTTTTATAAAGATGGTGTCTTGCTATGTTGCCCCGGCTGGTCTTGAGCTCCTGGACTCAAGTGATCCACCCACCTCTGCCTCCCAAAGTACTGGGATTACAGGTGTGAGCCCCTGCACCCAGCCTAGCCTTGGCTTTTCACAAAGGGTGGCAAGCCCTCCTTAGAGAGCAGAGCTATGCCAAAGATCTCTGCTGCTTCCAATATAGATTTTCAACAATTTCAGATCCACATAAGAATGTAGTTACTGTTTAGGAGAAGGCAGTTTTCATGGAGGAAACTGCATTTGTGATCCTAACGATTTTCCTGGAGCAGGCCCCGTCCTGCCACACAGCGTCATTTCCTCCTCACCTGCAGAATCACTGTGATTTATGGTTCCTCTGATTGCACCTGCTTTCACCAGAAGCCCTGGAAGAGAGCTCTTCTGCATGGATGAGACTTGAGAGATCTCGGTTTCATTACTTGTTTAAATGGGACCCTCTCAAAAGAATGTAAGCACATGATCGGGCGGTGCTGCACTATGTGATGAAAAGGAATCCAGCTGTTACCAGAAATGGGTGCCTGCCACGTTTGCCCACCAAATTCTTTTCACTTGATGTCATGAAAATAAAATTAGAGTTTTAAAATGAAAATTTCTCAAATTGGTATGAATTTGTTTCATTGATTTTATTAATATAGCCAGTTAACAATTCTATCATACAAGGAAATGAGAATAATACAAAAGTCAAAATAAGGGTAAGGGCCTGGCACAGTGGCTCACACCTGTAATCCCAGCGCCTTGGGAGGTCGAGGTGGGCAGAAGTTTGAGACCACCCTGGCCAACACAGTGAAATCCTGTCTCTACTAAAAATACAACAACAACAAAATTGGCCGGGCATGGTGGCAGGTGCCTATAATTCCAGCTACTCAAGAGGCTGAGGCAGGAGAATCGCTTGAACTCGGGAGGTGTAGGCTGCAGTGAGCTGAGATTGTGCCACTGCCCTCCAGTCTGGGTGTCAGAGCAAGTCTCCATCTCAAAAAATAAATAAATAATAAAGGTAGAGCCTTCTTAATTCTTTTGGTCAGGTAGCCTCACATTAATCTGCATAAAGGACACAAAATAAGACTTCAAACACTTAATTTGAAGAGTTATTTCCATTTAAATCTCCTTTGTTTATTTTATTGACCACCTCCTTTGTGCATTTCATTTCCTACCTTTGATTAAAAAAGGTTAAAAGCCTCATATTTCAGCAAGCATATGCCAATTGACTACATCAAGGCAGCCTGCCTGCCTATTACCTTTAGACCCCCACAAGAGCACCATGAAGAAATGCACTCAGGTTAACTCACTCATGCAAGATCACAGTGCTCAAAAGTGGCTGGGCAAGGATTAGAACCTCTATTTTCTCCTTCCAAGTTCACAGTCTGTTCTATTAAATCTTAATCTTTTTAAGATACCCTGTAAATACACGGAACACACTTAGAAGACCATGAGTCTCCTTTGACTTGTGGTTCAGCGTCCAGTTGGGGGAAAGTAATACCTACTATCTCCTGGAGATAACCTCTCTTTCTTGAGTCCCTAACACTTATGCCCATATAAATCTCTTCTGGATGCTTTAGTAAAGCAGTTAAAATAGGAGAGATTTTAGGGCTATTGCCCGGCATTGCCCAGCTGCCCACAGTCCCCCAGTCAGCACTCACTGAGCTGAATTCCCACTTCATGTCCTCTGCTCAGTCTTTTCCTATTTCATCAACACATTGCCCTAACTCAGTTATACTAACATGCAGTGTGAGCAACTGCCAACAGTTAATTAGGGATGAGCCTGTGAAAACTTGGGGGAAGCTACATGTTTCAATTATATTAATGAACACGCAAATGCAATCAAATCAAATGGATAAGCATTGTGTCAAGTTTTTACAAGAAGAGAATTGCATTTCACATGCATGAAAGCAACTCTCTTGTAACTTAACAGAAGACGAGATTAAAAATAAGCACATAGGAGAACCATTAAAATACTTATTATTTGAGTCAAATTAGAATTCTATAAGGATAGTTTCATCAAATGATTTGTGTTATTTTAATTTCCTTTCACAATCAGATTCAAATTACTCTACCTACAGGTTACATGTTTAAGCAGCTGCTCCTTAAACATCAAATCCCATTTTTTGTAACATTCATCATTGAGTTTTAAAAGGTTTAATATCAGCTTGAAGCTAGCCACTAAATATCTTCTGATTTTTAAAGTTATCAACTCCTTCGCATAACATTTCATAGATGTTGATCTTAAAGAAAACGGGGGGAGAAAAGGAAAGATCTCTCAGAGGCTAGGGCTTTATGTCTCAAAATATTTTATATTTAACAGCTGTCCTGGGAATTGAAAAAGATGATGCTAGACTCAGCTGAAATTCAATACCTGTTCTGTAAAGTGTGCTAACTGCAGTGTGGAGTTCTGACACTCATAGTCCGCCTGCAATTCTAGTTCCTCAGCACTAAGAAATCGCTCATGGAGAAGGAACTGCTTCATGAATTCAATTTTATCGTCCATCCATAAGTAGCTGTATTTCTCCAAGTAGCTTTGGTACTTGTGAGCATTAATAGTGACTGATTGCACCCTGCTCAGGATTTCCTGGTGCATTTGCTCTGGCACATCCATCCGAGCCATGTTCTTTCCTAATGGAAAAATAAAATGGAAAAAAAGTAAGTGAAGCCAGTGATTTTATTTAAAACCATGAAGCATTAGAGGTGGACTACTTCAAGCCAGACTGCTGCCATCCAAAACCCAACCAGTACCCCCATTAGGTAAAAGATAATCGGTTCCCCATTAAGTTTGAGAGTTTATTTTATAAAGATTTCTCAACATCCTGTATGTTAACTAAGTCTTTGTAAAGAGAGTCATACACTAAGTACAATAGAGGATCTTGTTATTTAAGGGAATATATTATGAATCACTTGGTAAAGTAGAGAATTCTTTTGGAAACTGAAAAGTCACCAATTTACTTTATCTTTCACAGACTATGTTGGTTTTCTTAAGGCCAGAAAAATATTCAACCGAGCCTCTGTATAAGTGGAAGGTGGGTTTTTTCACCATGAATATTCATGAACAAGCAGTATTAGACATCAATCATTGATCAACAGGAAAGATGAAGATTTCCCTCTGACAGTGTCATCTTTTTACCACCTAAGGAGCTCAAGGAAGGCAAAAGAACCCCATTGCCACTGTTTCCAAAGACCTCTCTGATGTTTTTACTGCAAGCACTTCTGCCTTCAAGGGGCCAGGAGACTGGTTTTAAGAAGATGAAGCCAAATGAGAGGTGATTGCTCACGGGTGTGTTGATCATGGGATCACTGCCTTCTAGTTCATACCTTTTCTCTGGCTAGATACATACCAAACCAGCCAATGCCTATGGTCAATGTGTGTAATTTGGGTCTCCATTTTTGGTTCAACATTATGTCAACTTTATAAAATAAATTGTGAGAAAAAAATTATAAGAGAGACTCAAGTATGTTTCAGGAAAATATGCCATTTACCCTAGAGGTTGAAATATAATCAGTTATTTAAAACTTGCATGCTATATATGCAAGACACTGTGCCAGACTCTTTGGAGATTATTTTTAAAAATGAGGCCAGGTGTGGTGGTTCATGCCTGTAATTCCAGCCATTTGGGAGGCTGATGGGGGAGGATCACTTGAGTCTGGGTAACACAGCAAGACCTCATCATCACAAAAAAAAAATCAAAAAATTAGCTGGGTATGGGGATGCACACCTATGGTCCCAGCTACTCAGGAGGCTGAGGTGGGAGGATTGTTTGAGCCCCAGAGGATAAGACTGACGTGCAGTGAGCTATGATTGTGATGACGCCACTGCGCTCCAGCCTGAGTGACAGAGTAAGACCCTGTCTCAACAAAAAAAAGTTAAAGCAAATTAGAAAGATTCAAATAGCACGGTGAAAATTTAAAAGACAGAGATAACCTTCAACTAGTGAGGTTTGGAAAGAAAGCAGGTGGCTTCATGGAGAAGGCAACATTTAAAAAATGGATAGTATTTGGACATGTGAACACGAAGGGATATAAACATGAATGTAAATTATACCCCAAGGGTTTTATAGAGTACTTTTATACATATTATTTCATTAGATGCTTACCTCACTCCCGTGAAAAAGTTTGGGCAATGTGGCCAAGACTGGCTAGATTCCCCTAAGTCCACTATTTTTCTTCCTTGTCCTGGGCTGTAGCCATGTTAATCTGGTCAACGGGATACGGACAGTAGTGAAAGATGCCACTCTCAAGCCTTGTCAGCAAATGCTATGTGATCCTCCACTTTTCCTCATTACTACCAGCCAACCTAATGCAAAGAATCCAGCACCAGAGAATTACAAGTAGACCTTGCAATATTGCCTCACCACAAATGAAATGTACCCGGGAACCCTAAGGCACTGCTAACAGTAGACTTCCTCCCTTACCACACACACAGCCCTGCTCCCCCTGACAACTTTAGGAAACAAATCCCTATTGTGTTAAGGAAACAGGATTTGGGAGGAGTTGGCTATAGTACCAGCAGTAAGTACCCTAATTGATAGATGAATTTCACTTTATACGTGAGAAAAAGGAGGCTCGCAGAGGAAAGAGCATGCACAACAACATGAAAGAAGGAAAGTGGCCAACGCCGTGGCTCACGCCTGTAATCCCAGCACTTTTGCTGAGGCAGGTAGATCACTTGAGCCCCAGTAGCTTGAGACCAGCCTGGGCAACATAACAAAACCCCATCTCTACTAAAAATACAAAAACTAGCACGGCGTGGTGGTGTGCACCTGTAGCTCCAGCTACTTGGGAGGCTGAGGTGAGAGAATCCCTTGGGCCTGGAAGGTGCAGGCTGCAGTGAGCCAAGATTGCACCACTGCACTGCAGCCTCGATGACAGAGTGTGACTCTGCCTCAAAGAAAAGGAAGAAAAAGAGAAAGAGTGAGAAAGAGAGAAAGAAAAGAGAGGAAAGAAACAAAAAAGAAAGAAAGAGAGAAAGAAAAAAGAAAGAGAAAGAAAGAAGAGAGAGAAAGCAGGTGAGCGAGCGGGAAGAGGGAGGGAGGGAAAGAGAGAGAGAGAAAGAAAATGGGAAGCCTGGTACTAAAGCAGACAGTACAAGTTCAGAGCCTTCGTACTCAGACCCCGCCCAGTTTTCCAGCCCCCTCCCTGTGCCTCCCCTGGGCTGCCTTCCATACCATGTGCCATGACCCAACATGCCACGCCCATGCTATGACACTTCTGCTCACACAGTTCTTTCCTTCTGGAATTCCTGTTCCTTCATTCTGTGTTTTTCAAACATCCACTAATTTTTCAAAGTCCAGGGTAAAAGTCACCCCCTTAGTTGGACCTCAGCAGCATCCTTCTTATTGTGATGATTGTGATGTGATGCGGCAGGAATAGGAAACAGCTGGGATCCAGAAGGGAAAGGTGTAGACTTGGACTTCGCCTCTTCCTAGCATGACCCTAAGCAAATGGCCTCAACTTTCTGAGTCTTCTTCTGCTTCTATAAAATGGATTGAACCGTCATTGTTTCCCAGGACCATTGTGAAGACAAAGTGAGATGAAGAATGAAAAACTAACCCTGGTACAGAAAATGTGAAATAAATATTTGTTCCACCTATTCTATGGCCCTTCATTGTTCTCCTCACTCTTAACTGTGAACTCCAGAAGAGCAGGAGACACACTGCACTCATCTGGATAGTCTGCACCTAATACTTAGTAGGTATTTTAGTTAAAATTAGGTAAAGCTGCATTTGGCCAAACCAAACTAAGAAGACCTTAAATCCACAAAGTTTTTATCTCTCCCATAAAAATCTAGGGACTACTAAGAATCCAGGGCTGCTCGGACAGTTCCGGAGATGAGCCAGGATCCCACACTCCTTCCAGCTTTAACGCCTGCTGCCCTAAAGATGTGGCCTTCGTTAGCATTGTCTAAGATGGCAGATGGGGCTCTAGGCAACATACTGGGATTCCAGGTAGTACAAAGAAGAAGAAGGGCAGGGCTCTTCCCTGAGAGACACTTCGCGAAGTTGGGCAGCCACTTCTGCATACAAATCTTTGGCCAAAACTCGGTTGTATGGTCCCCTCCAGCTGCATGGGAGGCTGGAAAGTGTAGTCTTCAGTCCGCGCCTCCATATACCCAGTTAATATTCAAAGCCCTCTTACTGAGGAAGAAGACAGGATTTGATGCTGAGGGGCAATGAGTGGTATCTGTGCTATTACACACATGACTATGCTTGGGGAAGTTGGTTCTGGCAGGGGTGTGGAGAAGGAATCAAGAGGCAAAAGCTGAAAGCCAGGAGGAGCATTGGGACACTCCAGTAACACTGAAAAGAGCTCCTCTCGCTGAGTGAGTACTGCACGCCACACCCCGTGGGGTGCACCTTACCCACACCAGCTCATTTGTCACTTCAGCCTCTCAAAGCACATTGGCGTTCCGATTTTAGCAGAATGTTTACTCTAACTTGGGATTGTTAGGTGACTTCAAATGGCCGTCATTACATCTCATGATTTTGTGGATTGGAAATACGGGCTGGGCTCAGCTGGGTGAGTCTTCTTTCCACACAGTGATGACGTTCATCTATTGTGGGTTCACCTGGGGGGTTCCAGGCGGCCTCACTCATGTGTCTGGTGCCTTGGCAGGGATGGCTAGAAGCCTGGACTCAGCTGGGACTGTTGACTAGATTGCCTGCCCGGGGCCTCGCCAATGTGGTGGGCACAAACGTTGGACTTCTTATATGACAGCTCGAAGCTCTCAGAGAGAGCATCCTGAGAGAGGAAATTGGAGACCTCAAGTTGTTTGTTTCTTGGAGGTCTGGGCCTCAAAAGTGGTACAGCAACATTTCTGCCATATTCTGTTGGTCAAAGCAGTTCCAAAGCCTGCCCAGATTCAAGGATAGGAGCAAAGATCCCGCTTCTCAATGGAAGGTAGGTACAAGTATTGTAGCCATCTCAAATTCTCCACAGGTGTCTTGCACTTAATCAGTATCCAGTAAATGTTTGTTGAATGCTTCACAGGTTTAGTTCATTCTAGATACTGAAAAATAAATGAGAAAGACATTGAGTGTCTAGGAGTTTCTAGAACTGAACTCCTTTCTTCTGAAAAGGAGTTCAAAATGAATACACAGATTTAGGACACAGGATCTGATTATACATTAGCAAAATAAAAGTGGAGTTTACTTCAAAACATGAAGGAAGAAAGTCAACCACTCTTCTTCCCCATTTCCTGTACTGTACCAACAGTTTGAATTGGTTGATTGCTTTTTGGTGTTAACTGGGAATTTCTCCAAGATCCAAGCTGATTACTCCCTTCTGTCCTAGAGACAGGAAAACAAAGCCAGATAAGAGTGAGTTACGGCCTAAATAGAAGCTTCCTCGGCAAATCTTCAGTGAAGGAGGTAAAAAGGCAGCAGCTGGAAAATGCCCCAGGGAGAGTCTCATTTTTTGAAAGAAAAGCAGTACCTGACAGGTGTCTTTTCCAAGGCGTCTAGCAACTCCCTTTACAAATGAGGCAACACTGAAGTCTTGATGAGACGTTCTCTCCTACTGGTGACATTTTTATTGACAGCATGGCTCTAACAAGTTTGGAAAGTCATCTCATTGTCATTCAGGATGAGTGGGGCCCCAAAGAAAGGAATGGATTTAGAGCTGGTCTTGAAGTTTTCCATCAGATGCTGGCTCTAATGGAAACTGCTATGAACCCTCCAGCATCCTGGGCAACCCACAGAAAGCCAAATAATTGCGGTGACAACTCCTATTCATCAAAAGGAGACTGGAGTAACTTCTGCTTGTCCTGATAATGACTTGAAAATGATAAGTTAGTGGAAAAAAACACTTAGGAAGACTTTTCCTTTTCACCTCAGCTAATTGGCCACTTCATTTGTAAGGGAGCCTTGGCTTTCTTTTAAACTAGCTTTTCACTTCAGCTACTACAAGACTCTGCCTAGACTAGTTAATCTTAAATCTTTTCTGGGTGAGGCTAGACCACACTACTGTTAAGACAAGTTCTTTGAATGTGAATTTCACACCACTTCCATGCCATGCCTTGCAAGACCTTTACCGACCATGAAAGTAAACACTAAACAAATCCCGTCTTGTAAGAGAAATAAATGTGGGCTGAAAGGAACTTAGCCTGTGCATCTAATAAAAATCAATAACCTTTCTAGTAATATAATATGTTGAATAATATGCCTGCTGTTTTCACCTGAATCTGTAAGGGAAATTTCTGTGGTACCTCTACCACAGGAAAAATCAAGATCTAATGGTTTTTGCTTAGTGAGTAAGAAAAGCATGAAAAGTTTCTGCTTATGTTTACAGAGAAGAAGAGGCATTACAGGTCTATGTGGGAAAGGCCAATGCAAATTTAGTAAGCCAGTTAGATAGCAGCCGGGCGAACCTGACTTTTACCATAATGGCGGTGTTGCTCAAGCACATGGCAGGCCTTGATCGGCTGGCCTGGGAATAACCTTTTTTGACTGTGTAAACAGGGCAAACAAGTGACTTCACTGGCCCCCAGTGAGTGATTAGAAGCAGTTATCCAGCCCATACTTATATTTATGCAACTCCTTTGCAAAAACTCTCCTTGCCTTTTCTCTCCCACAGAGAGGTAACTTGACCTAAGTTCTGTCCCTGTGGTAAGGGCAAGACTTTAAGGGACAATCACCTGAGCCGGTTGCACACTGCTCAAATTCTTGGGAGTTAGTTAACTCAGACCAGGCATTCTTTACCATCCAGGCAAGCAGACCCCCTAACAGTTTCCATCTCAAGAAAAAGAGGGCATTCTCAATCAACGTGGCGCTCGCAGATGCAGCTCCATATTGCCCTTGGATTTCTGGACTTGGTTGTCCTGATCTCAACTGTGTCCAGGTTTACAAGAGATTTTTCCACAGCACATCAAAACCTGCCAAATCCGACTACATTGTGTGGCACGGTGGGATGGCTAAATGTGGGGATTTGGCACCGAATTGCATGGGATGGAGCCAGGCTCTGCTACTCCCTTGCTATTGCAACTTGAAGGAAGTTACAATCCTTTGTCTCTTACTTCTGCATCTGTAAAATGAGGAGCATAATGGTCCTGGGGATTATGAGAAAATGGCATGCAAATGGCTTTCTGAAGTATCTGCATATGGTAAGGGCTCAAGAAATATTAGCTATCATTATGATTTTAGTTGCCAGCTCATGATCTTCACTTTGGCTGCCAGAATGGGTGGGAATAGGAGTTCCTAATTGCAAGATGCTCTCTCGCAGTCTAATTTCACTCAGTGACTAAATTCAGGCCCTGATATCAAAACAAAATTGTTTTCGTGGACGATAAACATGAAATATTCTTTTATCGACCACATTTTTTACCTGTTGAAGCGGAAAATAATTCCTTGCAAAGATAATTTTTGTAAAAGCATATTAAAATCTGGTCATAATAATAACCCATGTGTTCCTCCCGTCCCTACACTTCATAAGCAAAAATTTTTTTAAAGTGATGGGAGGGGGTCTTCAGAGGTCATGTCCAGCACACCAGGCTGACACATGTGTTCCACCAAATCTGTGTCTACAACATGCAGTGAGGTACAGTATAACAATCTCACTGGCAGGCGGGCTAAACAGGTCTTAATTCATCAGCATTCTTTGATTGGCGCTTGGATTGAATATAGATTCAAACTGATTACCCAAGCCTAGTTCAGCTCTCCTCCGACTTTTTGTTCTCACCTACATCTGTCAGAGAAAATGGTCTATATTTATGTCATGGAGAATTTCTCGTTTAGGACATAAGCATGTCAAAACTTTGGGAATGTCAGGATCTTTCAAAATCTCTGGGTATTACACTTCCCGGGGAACAGCTGAAAGCTACGCACGTTCACAACCTGACTGCTTTTAACCCTTCACAATGAGAAGGTGATGTCTGGTTATAAAGCAGGAGAGATTTCTCACACCATATGAGAAATATTTACTATGCCCAGCAGCCACTGCTAGCCTTTGAGCTGCTCTGGGAAAAGCGTGAAAGAGGGGAGCCAGGGGAACCGAAATTCAGCTGCCAGCCTCTGTAGCAGAAAAGATTTATCCCTTGGAAAATGTGGGCTATCACTGTAGAGAGCCACCTCTTAATGGCTTTCAACTCTGCAGAAATTGTTGTCAGGGAGACTGAAGCAAGTGCTTGTCATGCAGAGGCCATCTTGTCAGTTCTCGGCCAGAGAGAGGACTCGCTACAAGTTACTGGTTTCCACATCCCATTTATCCAGGCTCCATCGTGATCAATATGCAATCGAACATACAAAAGACCTGATCTTGCCCAATAATGATAGATCTGCAAAGTGGGCCAGAGAAGCCTCACAATCAACTCCCAAAGAAAATGCAGGCGTCTCTCCCTGGAAGTAGGGTTGTTGGCACAAAATGCTGTGAATTGTTCCATAGTCTTATGCTTCCTTTTTCTGAATCCGTATAGCACTCATTATCCGTACCACTCAATTTAGCACTTGATTATATACTGTCTCGTATTGTTCTCTAATCGTTTCTCCACCCAGATAAGAGGTGGAGTTTCGTGAAGACATCATTTTTTTTCTCCCTAACGTGATTTCTATAATTGTCTGGAGCTGCTTCCCTTAAACCTCTGTCTAGTAATTTTTCTTCCATCATGCTGTGGTCTTCACATCCACTTAGGTGGGGAGAAATAAAAACATCAGCTACCACTCCCAGAAAAACACAACTATGAAGAGCATCTGAACACATAATGCACACCTAACAACTTGTCATGTGGAAAAATATTCCTATGGGTAAGAAATTCAGGGACCATCTGTTCGGACAGCCACCAAACATCTTAGCCTCATACGAGCACACACTTAACAAAAGTCTCTTCATGGCCGGGTGCGGTGGTGCATGCCTGTAATCCCAGCACTTTGGGAGGCTGAGGCAGGTGGATCATGAGGTCAAGAGATCGAGACCATCCTGGCCAACATGGTGAAACCCCATCTCTACTAAAAATACAAAAAATTAGCTGAGCATGGTCGCGCATGCCTGTAGTCTCAGCTACTCAGGAGGCTAAGGCAGGAGAATCACTTGAACCCAGGAGGCGGCGGTTGCGGTGAGCCGAGATCGCGCCATTGCACTCCAGCCTGGCAACAGAGTGAGACTCGGTCTCAAAAAAAAAAAAAAGTAAAGTCTCTTCACTCTTCTATGTCTCCCTATCCTTTTCAACAGGGGAAAAAAGTTTTTAAAACAATGACAATGCAACATCCTGAGACAGGGCTCCAACTTACCTCTGGATCCTCTGGATCCTCTGGATTAAAGTTAGCAGCATGTACTCCACATCCATTGCTCAGGCAATTGGTTGCTTGAATGCCATCTGCAGAAGCAACCTAGCACTTCTGTTTCTAGAAGGAATATAATACAGCGCCCCTCATCATGGCAAAAACAACCATTTTCAAGTGGTTTTAGAAAACCAGATGAGTTTTGCTACCCAGACATTTTGCGAAGGACAGAATCAGCCTCTGCATGAATTCCTTTTTAAGTCTGCAGGGTGGGTCCGTCCTTCAGCCACCCCTGGATGCCATCTACGCAGCCCTGGCAAGCTCTCCATGTGCCCTGAGGGAGCAGGCAGCGGGTGATGTGCAGGAGACTCTCCTGTGTCTCTAGAGATCATTTCAGCTTCTCACCAAGTTTCCATGAACCTCAATGCACTCCTTTTAAAAAGGGGGAAACGGTTTCTTCACCAAATTCCTTGCAGTTCTGTCTTCACAAAGGATCTGTAGACAGGCAGGCAGGTACCTCAAGAAGAATGCCCATATCCCTGTCTTTTGGCAGAACCACACACTTAAGCCAAGCAGAAGAGTGAGGCTTTATGCTATTTTCAAAACTCTTCAAAGAAAATAATTCCATAACCTCCTCCCAGTTCATGGTTTACCAACTGGCCGCCCACATTAGAAAATGACACTCCATACTGCATGATTTGCATTTCAACAACATGTGCTCAGGGTGCTCCGCCTGCTGCCCTCTCCCCTGCCAGGCAGAACCAAGTAAAGTGCCAAATGAAAAGTCAAGGCCACTTGTTAAAAAGCACAAGTGTGAAAACTTTCAAGGGGGCGACAGCAGAGCATCAAGCCCAGGATGGCCAGGCCCCAGGATGGCCCTTGTGACTGGCCTCGGGGGAGACCACGGATGGGTGGGGGTCTGGTCATTGCAAGCCCCTTTGAGCCTATCTCTGTCATATCACTTTTTTTTACTTCTTCACAGCAAGTTGCTTTCAAATGCATCAAAAACAAAACAGGGTGGCTTTACAGAAGGAGGGATGGACAGACAGATAGCTAGGTGACAAAGTATAGTAAACTGTTAGCAGCAGAACCTAGGTGGTTGGGCATACGGCTTTCAACTTTGCTATGTGCTTCAAATTTTTCTTAATAAAATGCTGGGGGAAAAGGATTCTTATCTTTTAGAGATACATATTGAAATACTTATGGATAAAGTTACACAATATCTGGGATTTGCTTCAAAATAATGTAGGAGGAACAAGTGTGGGGGAGAACAGAGGAAATCAGATTGGCCAAGAGTTTATAATTGAACATGGTAATGGGGTACATGAGGTCTCATTTTACTCTCTCTACTTTTGTGTATATGTTTGAAATTTCTGTAACAAAAAGTTTTTAGAAATGGAAAAAAAAAGAAAAACCTCTGTGTTAAATATGCCTTTTAAAGCTTCCTGTTGCCGGGCACGGTGGCTCACACCTGTAATCCCAGCACTTTGGGAGGCTGAGGAAGGTGGATCACAAAGTCAGGAGTTTGAGACCAGCCTGGCCAATATGGTGAAACCCCATCTCTACTAAAAATACAAAAATTAGTTGGGCATGGTGGGGTGCACCTGTAGTCCCAGCTACTCAGGAAGCTGAGGCAGGAGAATTGCTTGAACCCAGGAGGCGGAGGTTGCAGTGAGCCGAAATTGTGCCACTGCACTTCAGCCTGGGTGACAGAGAATCCATCAAAAAAAAAAAAAAAAAGCTTCCTCATAATTTCTATTTTGCAAATATGATTAAATATTTTGTCAAAAGGTTTTTTTAAAAAAACAATAAACAGGACAGACTGAACAGGTCACACCTAGAATGCCAACATTTTGGGAGGCCGAGGCAGGAGGATCACTTGAGCCCAGGAGTTTGAGCCTGCAGTGAGCTATGATCATGTTCCGGCATTCCAACCTGGGCAACAGAGTGAGACCCCATCTCTAAAAGAAAAGAAGCAATAAACAGTACATTTTCCCTATAATA